CGATAAAAAGAAATTATGCTTAAAAAGAATTTTTAAGTAGACTTGTATAGGTCATTTTTTTGAGATGAATGAAATTTGACTAACATTTTCATTCATAAATTGTTGATGATAAAGGTCAAATATTGAGATGTGGTTTAAGATTGGCGGGAAGTGTTCGAGGTTTTCTATAGAGGAGTTATGCATTGATGATTACTCAAAATTTCAACTTTTTTATTTTTTCAAAGATGCTTTATTGATGAACAAACTAAAATTAGTACTAGTCATGCTACACAAACATCAAAATTGACATAATATTACATGATATTTTATCATTAGACAGTTTAAAAAATAATCAACTTTTTCATCCAATTATTTACTACCACATGCAATTATGTCAAATTATTTCGACAAAGTAGCTTTATTCAAATGGGTCAGCCCCCCGGTCGAACCCCATCCATAGTTGTGGGGGTCCATTTTTTCCCCGTGGGAACCCCCATGGATGGGTTTCGGTCAAGGGGTCAGCCCCCCTGTTCCTTCAGCATAACCCTATTCAAATTGTACATTTTCGTATGGCACATAAAGCAAAGACTTCGTAGTACATTACATAAGAGATGATGTGATAAAAAATAATGAGATTGATTGCATACTTTCTACTGATTTTTATGGAGCTTATTTCCTAGAAAAATGGCTCTAGCGATCTTCCACAATTATGTAGTATTTTTATTTTATTAGCTTCCTCATTTATTTATTTGTTTATTTATTTTTAGGATTATATTTGGGAGATGTAATGGGTTGGGATCACACCACCTATGTTGGAATTTTATTTTTTTTATAAGATTAAATTTGGGAGATGTAATGGGTTGGGATCACACCACCTTATATGTTGGAAGTTTTATTTTTTATTTTTTTTAATTTTTTTTTAGGGTTACATTTAGGAGATGTAATGGGGTGGGATCACACCACCTTATATGTTGGATTTTTTATTTTTTATAGGATTACATTTGGGAGATGTAATCCGTTGGGATCACACCACCTTATATTTTGAAAATTTCCACCGTTGCATTTAAGTGAATCTATCATTTAATATCATGCATTTTTCACCTACAATTGTGCTTGACTCTATAATGTTCTTAGTATATTAGAGGGTGTACGTTGAATTGCAACAAACTCGAGTTAAAGGAACCAATACATGGCAAACAACAACCTTGTAGAATAAAGCGTCGTAGATGGAAAATACATGGGCCAGGTTGTAGCTTCCAGAATGTTTTGAGACAGATTTGCATCCATTGGATAAGTTAGGGATTGCATTGGATAGTCTAGAAAGATCAAGGACCAGTTTGAAAACCCCAGAAAGTTCAGAGTTGCATATTGCTGAAAAATTCAGGGACCAAGATGTAGATTTTTGGAAAATTCCAGTACTGATTTGAAAAACATAGAAAATGGAGAGACCACAAATGGGGAAAACCATGGCACGCGTGTTGTAACCCCATTCTACTGTGACAAGACCGGTTCGGGTTGGCACTTATTCGATTCCATGTTTTCAATTATTTCTGTAAAAATTGCGCCAACTACCTTATCTGTAGTAAATATTTAAAAAAAATATATACTGTGTAATCTTTTTATTTCAATAAATATTGTATTTTGTTAGTAAAAAGAAAACATTGAAAATTTCTAAATTAAAAGAATATTAAATTAGGTAACATATTTTACTCCTACAAACCCGCCTTTACATATAATACATTTTGATTTCTACAAATATGCCTGTATCAAATGGTATGAGTGACCCAAATATGCCCGTTCCGTTTATTACAAATACGTTTAAGTGATCTATGCCTGTAATAAAATAACAGGGATGACTGTATTATACATATTACCTGAAAATTATTCCAAATCAGATATCATATAATTGTGTCAGGCTAAATATATGTATAATGTCTACTACATATCTGAAACATGCGTATGGTATTGGTCAATATGCAAGAGAATTTTCATGGTAAATTTGCAACATATCAGAAAGTAAAACATATGTCAACAAATTCTAGCTTCTGGAATGTCGAACCACGTATCCAGATTTTATAGATTTCACGAGTTGTGTAGTACCCGGACATGGAGACATATCACAAGAACAATGTATGACACTCAAACTCTAAAATCTATCACCAGACTTGCATAATATTTAGAATAATTTCGAGGTAATTTTTTTATTTCTTCTGTTTTCTTCTATTGATTCAATGAAAGTTTGTTTATATAAACAAATCCCTGAATTTTTTTTTTCCAAATGTATGAGTGAGAAATAAACTAGATGAAAAACATATCCCTAATTTGAGACATTATCGTAAATATACTGATTCAGAGTGTGAAATATCTGCATCGAGATGGAGATTTTTGGTTGTAGATACGACAATTTCTATGATCCCGTCGAGTGTAGCAATCACGGTGTGGTCAATCAACGGAAGCCCTTATTCTTCATCTTCAATCAAGTCAGATTTTTTATTTTTTATTTTTTCTTTCAAGAAGAGGTGTCAAATGGGAGGCAAAGAGGATGGAGTATTAAAACATTTAGTTACAATATAGTATTATTGATTTGATTTTCCTTTCTTGGGTTCTATTATTGGAAAACAGTAATTTTTTATATATTTCATAAACAAGAGAGTATTTTTAGTATTTTAAATGTTACCTAGTAAAACAAGAAATAATATTTTCAAACGATGCATTTACGAATTTTTCCATTTATTTTTCCCACCAATATTAGCCCATTAGGATTGAACATGGTTCGATTTGAACGGTTTGAGACAAATTTTTAAATCAAATTATTTACAGCAGTTTGAAATTTTTCCAAACCAAACCAATCAAAATCATTCTTTTTCTATTTGGTTTGGTTTAAAACCACGATTTAACAATGAAAAAATTAATATATATCAAATAAATTAATTCACAAATAAAATTCTAAAATTTCACCTTAAAACATAAATTGTATCATTAAAAAATTACAAATCAAAGTTATATAAGTTTAATCATTATAATGCAACAATATGATATAAATATTTTCAATAGAACCATAAGTACAGGAAAAATTTAACGGAATTTGTATCTACGATGACGTGGTAAAATATAAGTGGATTGTTTATTTTTTATTTTTTTGCATTTTACAATAACGTCGTGCCATGTGTTGTCTGTAAAGTTTTGCTATAAAAAAATTCTATACTTGTAGCATGATTCAAATATTTTAAACTCTTAGCCAATACTTGTCCATCTACAATTGTAATATACGATTCATTCTCTTCATAAATATAAAAATATAGTGCTAGAATTCATTGATTATACTTGTTATAAAATAACTAATAAAAGAAAATAAATAAAAAATTTCAAATACAATAATACTAGTTATTGTGACTTTTGTGAATCATCCAGTGCTTTTACTCCATCCAATTATTAGCAAATTATTTTAAGGGAGCTCGACAATTATTAGAACAGAACAACATAACTACCAATAAAAATATAGTAAAAATTACCAAAAAATAAAAGAATTTGGATAATCTAACTTGAATTTGAGCAAAATTATCAGAAAGGAAGTGAAATGTGGAAGTTTAAGTTAAAATCTAGATTTAATTGTCCACTCAATTGTAATGGAGGATCAATGAATATGATTTAGTAACAGTTGTTCAACATTTTATCTAATTTGGAGATTTTACATTCACAGGATTTGACATTCACATTTGTGATGACCGGTGAATATTTGGATATGATTTAATTAATTAATTAAAATGTATAATTGTCAAATTGAGTTTAATTGAAATGTGTCTAATATGGATGTTTTTAACCGAAATGTATTAACAGGGGTGTTCTCAACTAAAATTTTAATGAATTTTAAATGATTATAAATTCTAATGAATTTGATGGATTTAAATGGATTCTTACAAATTTCATAAGAATCTCACCAAATATAGTGAAATTTCAAAAGATTTACTTATATCTATTTTTAAACTTGAAATCCATCCAAATCTTTTAAAATCCTTTTATTAATAAAATCTTTATAAATCCACTAATTATTGAGGATACCTAAATTTTAAAGGATTTCATTAAAATTTCAATTGGGGACACCTAAATTTTAATGATTTTAATTAAAATCCAATAAAATCTCAATTGAAGATATCTAAATTTAGAATGATTTTTAAAATCCATTGCAATCTCAATTGAGGACATCCCCCTAAGTTTTAATTGGTTTAAAAATATTTTAGACTAATTTATTTTCAAATTTATTTATTTATTATTATTATTTTTTTAAACGGTTTGCAAAGTTTGAAATCTAAACCAAACCATTTTAAAGCGGTTTGATTCTGTTTAAAATCAAAACTTTGATGGAACTAAGTGGAACCAAGCCAACGATTTCACAAAAAGCGTTTCGATTCGATTTTACAATTTGACGACCTCGTTGTTCAGTCCTGAGATCATGTGATGAAAACAAGCATTTTATAAGACAATTCTACCTTGAAATGGCTAGTTCGGTCCAGGGTATTTTACCATTACCTAAATAAATAAACATAATGATTTAAAGATTTGATGTAAGAACAGGAATTTATAAGGCAATTCGTTACAATCAATATTAATCATAAATCGATAAGGCTAAATATATTGATACTAAAGTTTTTAATAACAAGACTATATTTTAATTGCATTAAAGATTCATTACTTTCATATATTATCACATTTATGTTTCAATTTTTTTTCTATCTCATTTTTATTCTTAAATTAACATAAATTGTTCTTGATTATATTTTCTCTCCAAATAATTTTCTCAGATGTAACGAAAGAACTCATTCATCCCTTAAATTAACAATATTTTTGAACGAAAATCAGGATTCATGACAATATTTTTATATGATAAGAAGAAGTAAAGTATAATCATAAAATTAAAATATTATGTATATAATAACCATATCATGGATAGAATTCTAAATCATAATCACGAAAATTGTACTAAATAAAACAAAATACAGCCTCATCGATGAGAAGATGATCTTCTAATGCAAAAACGTGGCAAAGAAGAACAATATGGCAGCAGATCCAGCCACTCCGACTCTGCTCGAAGCATCTGAGTTGGGAGAGGAACCAGGAGCAGCACCGCCTGGAGCGGAAGCAATGGACGGCGGAGAAGCGGTGGATCCAGTGGGAGCACCAGCTGGAGGAGCAGGAGGTGAAGACAGAGGAGACTCAGAAGGCGAAGCTGTGGTTGGGGCCGGTGTCGAGACACCGGAAGGAGATGGTGTTGGAGCGTGTTTAGGCACTGAACCAATGGGAGCAGCATTCGGCGCGACCGTCGGCGAGGCTGCCGGAGCCTGAGCCACAGCCGATCCAGCCACCAAATAAAAAATCAAAGCCAACACTACACCGGAGTAAGCCATTTTTTTACCTGTATAGTGTATTTCTTTCTTCCCAATCACAAGGAGGCGAAAACCTAGGAAGATAGCAGAGAGATATGAAAAAGTAACGTTTGCAGGTCTCGCTGAAAAAGAGAGGGAGATATATATTCGCGAGAGAGAGAGAGAGAGAGAGAGTCGGTTTGTGGAAAATTAATTAATTAAAAAGTTGATTGTGGCTAATAATTGGCTTACAACTCAGAAACAGAGGTAGAGGTTAGCGATACAATTGACAGAACCCGTGTGGTTACAAATAAATAATAAAATCACCGTCGTTCACGTGTCTTGGATGCTGATCGGAAGGTTGAACTTAACTTAGGGAATGTGAGATTCCTCGACCCGTTCAATCATAATTACTGACCAAAATTTCTTGTTACCGTTGTGACAACCACGTTCTAGGGCCAGCCAAATATGTATTTATTAATAAAATTGGACAAATCAGGACGACTTTGATTTTGAATCGACTAGTTGATAAAGACCTAAAGAGGAGATAGCTTTATCGAGTAAATTTAACCAATAATCACTGAACTTTACACTTGATTACTACTTGCTCACTCATCTTTCACAAATTACTGAATGCTCATTGCATTCAGGAATATGTGAAAGATGAGTGAGCAAGTAGTAATCAAGTGTAAAGTTCAGTGATTATTGGTTAAATTTACTCTAGCTTTATCCCATAGTAATAGAATTTGTATCGAATTAATTAGTTCGATCGAAAAAATTGTGAATCGGCCGCTAAAAGGTACATTTTGTTTTGAAGGACCGAATTACTAATGAATCGATCAGAACTATCAATAACCGGCCAAGATACAGTTGAACAAGACAAAACCAAGTCGATCTATTAAAATAAAATCTGAACTGATTTTGTATATTTAGCCATGGTTTAACTAAAAAAATTGATAAAAATTTAATTCAAAGTTAATAATTAATTTTGCACTGCTTACAAAATTGAGTGGTAGGTAATTAGGCATCAACGAGGCGGAGGTGTGAAGCGCAAACCGACTTCTCCCTCTCCAACGAGGAATTAGATTCTTTCTTAATAGCCATAGTTGACCATGAATCAATCTTATATCTCTCTATTTTTTTGATTTCTCGTACACTACGATTACAAAAATATCATGTTATTCCGAAAATTGGTTATTGATTGCACTTGATTTATAGTAAGCAGTTTTATGCAATAACCAGGTATTCTCCGATGTTGATTTCTAGTTCTATCTAATAGTGGTTGGGTAGGTCAATGCTTCAAAGGATAGCCTACTGAGTAGCTGTTGAAAGATTTTCCTTGTGTACTCTAAAGAGACTTTCTTGCATTCTCTAAAAATGCTATAAAGACATATTTCCCCAGCAAAGTTCCAGCTACGATTGTTATTTCACTCATAAATACTGGCTTGATTTGCACAAGAACAGGTTGAGACTTGAGAGCGAGTATATAAATAGGTTGTTTTCAATGAATCCATTGCTTGAGAATCAGCTGTTCACATTCCTCAATACTTGAGAGGAATACATGACATTACTTGCAATTATAGGTAGATAGTTTCCAATTTATCCTTTACAGGGAATGAAAATTTCTTACTAAATAGCTGATGTAGATTGAAGCTTGACATTATGGAAACATTGCAAAAAGAAGTAATCCAACCCATCTAACCCTAATGTTCTGACAGCAGATTGAAGAATCCACCTCGATCGGAGATGGAAACATCAATTTATGAAAGGTTTAGGCATCTCTGAAACGAAAGATAAAGCTTAACAATTTAAGTATGCTAATATGCCATATCTTAATAAGAAGGAATATTATACTAAAGAGAATCTCCTTTTCTCTATGCCTTTTGTCCAATGATGGTAATCAAATCAATTATTGTTATAGATAGAGCCAATTTGCAATAATCCAGTGATAGAACTTATACCACTTGTTATGAATATTTTATACATTGAGCCAAGTGATCGAATTTATATAACTTGTTATGAATATTAAAGATAACAAATATGGGCAAGATGAAAATAATGAATTACACAAGAACACAATATTTACATGGAAATTCAAATTTTGGAAAAAAATAACGAGCAGAAGCGAAAAATTCATTATGAGCAATAGCAAAGAAGCACAAAAGGATATCGCAAAACTCTCAACCTATTTCAGAATATGCAAGTCATTTTCTCTACAACCTAGATCATCTCACTTTGATGTTCTTTCAATGCTATACAATGTTTTGCTATGATATCTCAAGGTTATGTGGAGCATATATAAGAAATCATTACAAGTGTTTTGGATGAAGTAGAATACAAAAACGCGATAGACATTGGATTCAATTCAATCAGGTGGCGCTTGAGCGCCATTGGCCAACGCCTAGGTGCCAACTCCCTACCTCTCTTCACATTTTGGGCGCCTAGTAGTCAGGTTGAGTGGGAAAGGAAATATTTTACCACAATGGATCGGGTTGGAGCCAATCTAAAAATTTGTCCATCTTTACAACTTTTTCTTAATTTAGATTATGATTGGATA